GTGTGGATGACAACTCAATGTAAAGACCCAAATCCTCACAACTGGACCAATGGGCGACATCGTGATAAATGGAGAAAAGGCTGACATTGTCATTTTGTCTTCCTTGGATCCACAATCGGTGCCCATGGAAGCAGCAGTCAAGAGATCAAAGGATGTGTTGCATTAGGTAACTCTGCTGCGCAAGACCTCTCCCAAATATTGAAAATGCACGGATGTCACTTTGAGGAATAAAGCCCAAGCCACGGTATTTTCCATTGCCGCACATGCATGCGAAAGTTGGACCTTGAATAAGGAAGACCAAAGAAGAATCCATGCATTTGACTTGTGGTGCTGGGGAAGAATATTGAAAGTACCGTGGACTGCTAAAAGAGAAACCAATCTGTCTGGGAAGAAGTACACCCAGAGTGCTCCTTAGAGGCAAGGATGGCAAGACTTAGTCTCACAGACTTTGGACACGTTGTCAGGAGAGACCAGTCCCTGGAGGAGGACATCATGCTTGGTAAAGTGGAGGGGCAGCCCTCAACAGGATGGATTGCTGAAGTGGCTGCAACAATGGGCTCAGGCAAAGGAACAATTCTGAGGATGGCGCAGGACCAGGAAGTGTTCTGTTCCGTGGTCGCTATGGGTAGGAACTGACGCGGTGGCATCTCACAGCAACTATACACCGCACAGGAGGAGTTCTTTACTCCCTGGGGTGGTTGTGGAGCTCAGCGCCTTGGCAGCAGGAGTGGAGGACCCAGGAAGCTAAGTGAGGTAAGCCTGGGCTGACAGGTGCTTATGTACTAATTCGTCAAATAAGCACACACCAGCTCATGCTTACCGTACTTAAAGAGCATCCTCATCAGGGGTTGTGCGTTTGAAAAGCGCTTTGATGTTGGAAGGTTGCTGTGGAGTTTGGAGATAGAGAACAGCTACTCCTAGAATGAGAATCTTTGATGTGGTGAATTCACGTGCAATGGTTCACCACAGATGAGCAAGTAAGCACAGGTAAACGCATGCTTGCCTTATGTCTTGGGTAGACTAACCTGAGCGCCGAGTACCAACTGGGGGCTCGGCCATTATTTGCTGACTCACTGAATGAATGGGGTTAAGCCAAAGGCTGCCTGATGAGCTGCCGCTTGCAGGTTCTGCTTTGGGAAGGGAATCATTTGGCACTTGGGGACCCCAAGAATCCGGGTCAGCAGCTCCAGAGGGAAAGAGGCAACGTGTCAGAGAAGACATCTGAGTTGTCAGAGATATCAGGACGAATGTCCAGTCTTTAGAATACCTTCACTGATGCTGAACAGCATGAACGTTTTTAGGGGAATCCATTAATAAGCAAATTCCTCCAAGAGGCTGTTGTGTAAGTGAAGCACCTCTCGGAATCCTGCAGGCACACCCCCAGACTCTTCTAATAAATTCAGGGTCAGGCCCTTCAATATGATGGGGAGAAGTCAACATGAGGACCACTGTAGGATGCGACATGAGTTATTGTTGTCTGGGGTTTATTGTGCTTGAAGTGGTCTCAGTCTGCATGCACCATGGGGCAACGTATCCCATCTGGGAGAGAGAGTCTGCAGGCCGTCAGGTGAGTGTGAAATCTTCCACAAAGCTGAGGGGATGAGCCCTCCTCATTGTTAGTTGCTCGGTCCTGCTGCATCCTGGTGAGCATGCATGACCTCACTTACACGGGGCTGATGTGGCTGCTGTCATGCCCTATCAGACTCACAGTGAGCTCAGGTGCAACGGAAAGAGATGTTGCTTGGACCCCGGGCATTTTCACAATCATGCTCAAGTTTGTCATTGTGCCCAGTACCTCAGTCCACGGCACAGAAGGCCTCCTACACCACTGTCGGCCCTCTAACTTCACCAAGCACCAGGCTCTCCTCGAGAGATGGGTTTCTGTTGATGTGTCCAAAATCACGCAAACAATCGAATATACTCATGGCCTTCATGTTGATTCCATCTCATGGGACCTATGGGACAGGGCAGAACTGCCCTTGTGGGTTTTTAAGGCTGTAACTCTTTACAGGACTTGAAAGCCTCATCTTTCTAATGCAGAGCAGCTGGTGGTTTTGAACTGCTGACCTTGTGGTTAGCAGCTCAGCATGTAACCACTACACTGCCAGGGCTCCTCTTCTATCCAATTGTTTGTTTTTTAGGAGCTGGAGTGTTGTTATCTCTGAGTGCCTTTATCCCAAACGGCAGGTAGGATTCACCTGGATGGCTCATGTCATGATCTCATCAGAAGAGCTTACTGAAACACACCAGTAGGCGCTCAATACATGATCTTTGATGATGGCAACATGAATGAGCAGTCGTGAGGACAGAGCAGGACTGGGTGGTTTCATCCTGTTTTATAGGAGTTGGGATGGACCTGACATTGAACAACAACCTGAAGGAGGGCAATCCTGGAAGTAAAACAAAAGACCCGGTTGAGCATGCAGTTGAACAAGCTGTAGAAGATTCTATACGAGGCCAACGGCCACAAAACAAACTCATTGCCATCCAATTGCTTCCCACTCACAGCAGCCACACAGGGCGGGGTGGAATTGCTATTGTCAGGGCTGAGATTGTAACTGTGGGAATAGTAAACCTCATCTTTCTTCCTCGACTTTGCAGGGACCCACTAGCGCTCCTTAAAATGAGGCAATAACGAAAAACTTTACGCATCATTAAAATTCCGGACCAGTGTCCAATGACGACGTTCTGTGTTTTACAATGCAGTAAGGTCTTTCTGCACTTCTTTCAATGGTGTTACTGTGAAGCCAACTATTGTACAGGAGAAAGGACCCAGTGAACCCTTACAGACTGTTGTTGTTGGGTGCCACACAGTTGGTTCCCACCCACAGCAACCCTATGCCCAGTGGAACAAAACACTGCCGGGTCTGCACCATTTGCTCAATTGCTTCTGTGTTTGAGCCCGTGGTTGCAACCACTGTGTCAACCCATCTGGTTAAGGGGGTTCCTCTTTATTGCTGCCACTCAATCAAGCATGATGTCCTTCTCAAGGGACTGGTCACTTCTGACATGTCCAAAGTACGTAAGACAAGTCGCGCCATCCTTGCCGCTACAGAGCACTCTAGGAAACCCTACGTAGGGCTTCCATCCTGGAGTGCTCCTTCTAGTCGGGTTTGACTAGACAGCAGTGAACAGCAACAATGTTAAATTTGATGTAAGGCTCTGCAAATCTCGATACACTTGAATTGACCCGATTGCTGGGCTGACTAGCCTCATCAGGACAGTGTGGGTTCCTGGTGTAGGGTCAGGGGTGTGCATGAGGCAGCTGTGTAAGGAAAGCTGACCTATGGGGAAGTCTGAGTTTGCTTCTTTACGGACTGGTTTCTCCGTGAGTTCAAGGGCAGTCCTCAGTATATTTCAGTGTAATTGTTAACTGGGCATCTCCCATGTTAGACTGACACGCTAGGAGGCTGATGCAAGGTTATGGATAGCATTTTATTTTCAGGAGAAGGCACACAGTAGAATCGGGACTCATTTGTTGAGTATGTGCAATTTATCAGCTCCAACATCATCTTCTTAGTATGATCATGCTATACTGTTCGTCACACTTCCCAGATTTGTTCAAGTTATTTGTTGCCTAGGTTTTTTTCTTCTTCTTTTTCTCAAATACCACCCGACCACTCAGTATCCTTAATTTATGGGCTACTCTTCATTTGTAGCCTGTACCAAATCAAATGCTTGATCCCATACCTTGCAATTACACAGCATTATTCACTGCTAATGTCTAAATCGGGGGAGTGAAAAGGACAATTGTTTAGTGCTTCTTTAAGTCCCTGACCAAGATCAGTAGGGAAATCCCATTAGCTCTATTCATCGCATTTCTCATAAATCTAAAAGGAAAGCAAGTATCCAAAGCCTTGGTCTTTAATCGTTCTTATTTGTAAAACCTTGACAGGGCTTTATTCTAAATTGCCTCCAAATTACACAAAGAATACTGAGGAATATGATGGGCAGTGAGTCGTGATAGCTTCCGTCATCAGATAAAGCAGCAGGACAGTTTAAAGGAGGGGCTAATCTGAAAGCAAACAGTTCCAGGGGCTCCGAGGGAGGGGGTGAAAGGAAGGGAACTGTGGCATTCTTAATCACCCATCTGGCCAGGCTGAAGTGCCTTTTATTCAGTGCCTCCAACTTATTCAGGAGGACCCGTATTTGAATATTAATATTCCAGATTAACACCCACCCACACCCCCCTAAAGCCCCCCGTCACAACTCTCTTTGTAACCAAAAAGGAATTGTTAGCAAAATAATGGGTAATCCTCAGGCTAAACACAGAGGCCTGAGGCCTTGGGTACAACCGGTGGCTGCCTTTGGCGGGGCCAGCAGGCAGGGCTTTGGGGCTCATACCTTTGGGGTTCTTCAAGGTTTGAGGAACTATTTAAGTTGTCGGGACGGTTTGAAATGCAGGCCAGAGGTGTAAAACCAAGAAACTCAAGGCCTGGGTGTGGATTGCTGGGCTTTAGCTAATCCAAACGAAACAATGTAGAACTGTCACATGGGCGGACACAATAGAAATGAGCATCTGTAGCTGAAATGGTGCTTTTGCGAAACTTGAAACTATTTCATCACATGGATTGCAGACAACTTTGGTTTTATTTACAAAAGCCTGTTTGTTCGGCTTTGTTTTGTTTTGATGAAACTGTAGAGACTGGTGCTTTATTTTCCTGAGAAGGCAGCTGAAAGGCTCGTGCTGGATAAAATAGGAGGCCAGGACTGATCCTCTCGTGAAGCCAGTAAGAAAGTGGTGCTGGAACATTTTTGGTGGCTCCCAAGACAAAACCCAGTCCTGCTGGCTTTGTGCACGCTTCACTTCCAGCCTGTCGTGCCTTCTGTCTGTTAGGGCGTGGCACCTGGCACTGGGGAGGGAAAACCGGCTTGTGTTGCCTTATACAGCAGGCCCAGTTCATTGTGCTGTGGGCCTCCAGCACAGGCCCTCTTCCCATCTTCTTCTGGACTTGCTGGCGCAAATGGAGTTAAGAGGGATTTAGACCGACACACCTCCATTAAAAGAATAAATAACAATAATATTTATTTACATACTTTCTCCTATATGCGAACACAGTTTAATGAAAAGCTGGAACTTGACTCATTTTCCCTTTTAAGAACTGCTGTGAAAACAAAACATGGAACATGGCTCTTCTTGTTTGAATTGCCTTTGGTACATTTTATCAATTCGGAAGAAAAAAATAGTTTTAAGATTAGGTGTGTACATTTGGCTTGATGATAAATGCCTAAACCCATAAATATGTAACTGATTTTAGAATTGATGCATACACACAGGCAACAGACATGTCATTATATTTGCATATGGAAAACTTAAACCAAACAGTCGACTCATGTGGCGCAATGTGCATAATTAGTATGCATTTGAATATATACCAGGAGGAAATCTAGGAGAAAATGTCAAAAATGCAGGCTAATAAAGATGTAGTATCCTCAAACTGAAGAATGATTTGGCACGAATTCATCTTACAGTTTGTTCTGTTAAGTCTCTTACCTGGGTCGAGCTAGCCCAGTTTTTCAGATGTTTGCTGAGAACTGCAATTTGTTGTTTCCACACTTCACAACCACCCCTTGAGCGCACAACTGATGTCCCCTGCTCTGCCCACAATTAGCCCCAAGGTTTTCTTTCCCCTTTCCTATCAGTCAGGTAACAGATTGACACTTGGGCAAGGCAAGCAGAAATAACAGCTGCAGAGGAAATAAAATAACACACTCTGTGGGAAAAGTCGGAGAGTGAAATGGTTTTTGCAAAACTAGAGTCTAGTCAAGTCAGAGCGATGACTTCATCCCGGCTTGACCTCTTGGAAGCTTTGATTTCGGATGCAAACAGGATGGTGAAACCGAACCTCGGCTTAGGTTAAAAATAAGTCTTGCTGTCCGAAGGTACTGAAAATATCAGAAGGCCAAATTAGCAATAAAAAAAGTGAGATTAAGCATGAAATGTTTTAAAAAGACTAAAGTAGGCAAGGTTTCCGCTTTAGGATTTGGCCATTTTATAGTACTGATCTTATGTTTATATGTAATTAAAAAAATCTATTTCCATGGTGTTTCACATTACTTAAAAAGTGAGCTCCTATCAAGAGGGTTAACTGTTCACAACCTCGGAAATAGGGCGAAAGGCACCACGTGAATTTTCCCAGGTAGGAGCTAAACCTTACCTGTTACCACGAGGGCACCAACAGTTTTCTTTGAAAGTGGTTTGGGGCAGATCGGGCCACTCAGCGTCTCTGAGGATTTTCCCTTTAAAGAGAGGTCGGCACACGTGCACAATACAAACGCTCTATTGGGAACAGCTTTCATGTATACGCTTACCAGCAAACGATCTCGCAAACTAGTTATATAAACAGTATCTTCGGGGCAGGGAGACATCGGAAGCACGTATTGAGTCCCTGCTGTGTACCGGGCACCCGGCTCCTGGAATTCACCCGCAAACCTCCCCCCGCCCCCCCACCCCGATTTTGCAGTTTGAAGAAGTAGTGGGAATTCCTCGGAGGGACCAGCATCCAGGCAGGGAAGCGAACGTTCTGAGAAATTACGTAACTCCGGGAGACAGTCCGCTTTTGCCCCGATTGCCCAAATATTTTCCTTTTTCCGCAGGCTCCGGGGAACCTCTGAGTCTGTCCGACCGGCAACTTTGTTCCCGGGCCCTTTCCGCTCTTTTGTCTGCTCGTCAGACTCGTCTTCCGCCCTTGGATGGGGCCTTGGGGACGGGAAAACGAACGCGCGAACGCCCGGAGGGCCGGCAGTCCGAGGCCCGGGCCTCGCGCGGCGCCCGGGGCCCAGGC